TTTTTTTTTATTCAATCCTATGCAACAGAATCAGATTTAACTGATTTTTTTTTTTAATTGTCCAAATAATTTATAGCCTTACAAAGCTATTATCAGAGCATGTGAGCAGAGCATAGCATCACGAGAGGGTAGCGTCCTTTTACCAGCATTGCCCAGTACACTGCCGTGCAAAGGAAAAAGACTGTAACTTAGATTTTTGTCGAAAATTAGTTATTGATATTTTTGGGACATTCAAGACATCCTTTATCATGTGCATAAGTATCTTGAGTCGTCTCATCCGTAACTTCAAAAAGCCCCGGAGAAACCAAGGCAGAACACCGTATAACACCAGTTACGGCTCTTTCACTTTGTTTGGAACCCTCAAATTGAGTTACGGCGTTCTGCCTTTGTTTAGCCGTGTGTCAAAATGAAATTACGGTGCCGGTTTGGAGTTATACGGTGTTCTGCCTTTGTTTTACTGTCCGTTAAAGTCTGCCGCATTTTAATTACGGTGTAGACAAACGAATTTGATAGATTGCGATCTACCAAACAGCTCCATATAACAAAGCACTGTAAAGACTAGATACCTTGGCAGCAATACGTAATCATGAATAACCTTTAGTTTTTTTTTAAAAGATTATTCACTTAGTTGGACGCGTGTGGACTTGAATACCGTAGCTAGCATGATCAATCATAAAATCAGTAGCCTACTAACAGTTAATTACTAACAGCAATTAAATCCATATCCTATCTTTTCTTGTAACCCGATAAAATCAATCCATGGCGATGAACGTCATCGGAGATGTTTAATCCACAAGCATTCTGAGCATTATTCCTGCTTGCTGGCGTTCACATCAATCCACAAGTCATTCTTTTAGGTTAGGCTATTTCATACATGTCAATATAAAAGTAAGTATGATATGTCTAGCATTCTTTTTTACGTTACTGAGCATATCAAATAAATTGGTATCCATGGTATCCACTCACATTTTTAACTTTTAGTCTGCTTGTTACGGTAAAAAAAAAAATAATAATAAAAATGAATACAGTCACATTGCTATATGCAATAGCCTATATGAGATAGCCCATGATCACTAGATTTTATAGAGGTGTTACTATTACGATTTTGTAAATGGTGATCAGCAACCAAATATTGATAGTATGGAAGTTATTGCCTTTTGCCTTGGTGTGACTTCTAACGTTTTGCAGACAATGCAAAGGCAGAGTACATTAACTTCAAAATAGGGGTAAAAATCAAGTTTGAGCTCATAATTTTTTATTGTAGATAATTTTCATTACTAAAACATCTAATAGTTACATTTCCAGTGCCCTGCCTATAATTAATTTGGCTGGACAAGTAAAAAACTTTAAAGTAATTTTTCTCAGTTTCACACTCTAGCGAGTTAAGGTCTTTTTCCTTTGTAGGGCAGTACAGCTGTACTACACCATGTTACAGCACAGTAGCACTATTGCAAACAGGAACAAGTATACTACATAGAAATTTCCTGTCGGCATGCTATTTGAGCTGACTTTGCTTTTCCGGTGATCATGAGTGGTACAACTGTGAGCAACTCAATGGAACGCATATTCATAGAGCAGAATATTGAGCGGAGCGCCACACCGCACAGTGACGATGGCTAGAGGGAGAGTGAAACCTGCACGCTGAACACTGATATTTTCGACCGCTTTTCTCTTTCGGCTAAAAACCAAAAATGCCAATTTTGGTGCATCCCTACTAGCAACCAGCAGTGCCTGAGTAACCACCCAGAACACCCTAACAACTGCATAACAACAAATTGAGATCCATTCAGAGCATCTTAGAAACCAAATAGCAACAACCTAGCAACCTCTTTGAACACCCTCACAACACCACACCACGACAAAACCCACACAGAACACCTTAGCACTCTGTACCAATGCCCTATCAACTAACTAGAGCTCTCTAGCAACCACATAGCAACACATTAAAAACACTTAGATCACCTTAGCAACAAAGCAGCCTGAGCTAACCATCCAGCACACCCTAACAACTCCATAGCAACAAGCTGAGATCCACAGAACATCTTAGAGACCACATAACACCAACCTAGCAACCATATAGCAACCTCTCCGAACACCCTAACAACAGAAGAACAAAAAAGAAAAAGAAAAAAACACACAGAATGCCTTAGCACGGTATACCAGTGCCCTAGCAACTAACTAGAGCTCCCTAGCAACCACATAGCAACACACTAAAAACACTTAGATCATCTTAGCAATAAGCAGCCTGAGTAACCACCCAAAACACCTTAACAACTGCATAGAAACAAGCTGAGATCCACTCAGAACATCTTAGATACCACATAGCAACCTCCCTGAACAACCTAGCAACATCACAACATGTTAAAAACCACACAGAACACCTTAAAACTATATATCAGTGCCCTAGCAACTAACCAGGGCTCCTAGCAACCACACAACTGCAACAGCAACTCCAGCAGCCACACAGCAACTATCACCTTAGCAACTACATAGCCTAACCTCACAAACACCCTAGCAACCACATAGCAATGCCTGAGTAACTACCTGGAACACCCTAAAAACTGCATAACACTCAGACCTTCTTAGATACCACGTAGCAACAGTCTAGCAACCATGCAAGATCACACAAGAAACTACATAGCAACACCCTGGCAACGGTCCAGTGCACCCCAGCATAATGGCAGCAGGTTTTGCAAAAAATGTAAAAGTGTAGCTGTATTTCCAGTCACCAGAGGTGAATGTTGGATCATGACCGCACTTCTCCAGCTCAGTGAGGTGTGAGCACCATCACTGAACTCTGGCGTCAGTCCAACCATAGCTCACGCCTCTGTCTTTGAAGTGTGGAAATGTTTGGCATTCCTCTTAATCCTTTTAATGTCACCAATAAAAGATGTTTTATTAAGGTGACATTGGGATTAGTGTTTAATTACCACTGAGAGGCATTTAAATATGTCTGCTGGCTTGGCAAGCTCATGCGCTTTTACTGTGTGTTACTGCTCGCTAAAGCAACCAAACCTTAGAATTAATGATGATACCATCATTTTGTTCATACGTTTAGGTTATACAGTATGGGACATTTCCAGAGAGTTTTGTTGCTGTATACAGCTGAATTGTTTACTTACAGATATTGCTGCGCATTAAACTTGGATAGAAAAAATTTTTTAATTCTCAAAATAGAGTATGAAAAATTAATATAAATTAAATTTTAAAAAATCCAAAAGAAGCCATTTTTTTCTCAGTTCATGAGTACTGTGCTTTTGCCTGTGTATGGCAGTATATGGAAGTAAAATTATGACAAATGTCTTTTAAAAAAAAGCATGTTGAATTGCACTAATTAGAAAAGAAAAATGCATTAACAGTGCTTGTATTATGCGTCTTATTGATGATGCTTAGGAAGATTCACTCAGAATATGAACATAACACACAAAGTGTTCCCTCCCATAGAAACCTGTTCTAATGAAAACTCTTAATGCAACTCAGACCAAATACAGTATACAGCTTATAAATAAAAAATATGAATTTTGCATTGTGTTTTTACATAGAAACCCATTATTTTTAAAAAGTATATATTTTACATGGAAATAGCATAGGTATTTTTGTGCTTTTCTGCACACAGACAGGCACATCATTCTCCAATCAGATCATCAATTGCTACATACTGTGAACATCCTCCGTAAAGGTTTTTACCCTCTGAGCGCTTTGCCTCAATTTTATTTCACCAGACGTCTGGCCGACCCCTCAGAAGTCATAATTGTCATCTGGCACTGTGTGTGTATGTACTGTATGAGTATGTGTTTGCCTCCATAAGCCACTAATTGACACAAACAGCAACATAATATCATCAGTTGTGGATGTGGTGTGAAAAATCCACTCACACAGGTTCAGGAACAGATGTATGGGTAAGATCGGCCGAAGCCCGTCTGGTGAATGCAAACGCAGGGTCCAGGTTATTTTTCAGCCTGGCAGCCTGAACCCTGAGCTCAGAGCGATGGACAGATGGTCCATTTGAGACGCCACCAAACTAATCACGCTGTTCCATTAGTGAAAGTGTCTCAGATAAACGGCTGACCATGAGCACGCCCGTGGTCTCTTCTCCTTCCAATTACTTTATTGATGGCCGGTGTTTTGACACAAATTAATTGGGTCACCGTGTTGGTGTGAGGAAAAAAAAAATGCCACGGGCAAAGTCATTGTGTGATCATGGAATAGCAAAGCTGTTCACTGAATTTAATTGATTTGAAATGAAATATGCATGATATATATGATTTATGGCATGTAAAATCTCTATTGTGCAATATCCTGTCTGTATAAAGTTATTTCTAATCTTAATGTAACAGTAACAGCAACCAAAGACAGAATAACACATATAATTGTTTGTTATTTTATTTGATTACTTAACAGGACATTAATTGTTGTAACACGTAACAATATAATATAATAGTTTTTGTGCAATTTAAATTATGCTTCAGAATGCAATTTGTAATGGAAATATTATTCATATTTTTTCAAATACACCCTGTCTTTAATTTTTTGTATTGATTTTTAATTCTTTTATTTAATACATTCACATTCAAATTTAAATAACCTACTATTCTGGAAAAACTCTACAATAGTTTTAATTTATAAAATTTGTATAATGTGATGTTTAAGAGATAATGCTATAATCTAATCTGATTATAATATAATATAATCGTTTTTTGTGCAATTTAAATTATGCTTCAGAATGCAATTTTTAATGGAAATATTATTCATATTTTTTCAAATGCATTCACATTTGAATTTACATCACCTACTGATCTGAAAAATTCTACAA